TGATGCATATATGAACTGGAACCCGAGCAACAATACTTCTTGACTGACCCTCATTCTTTCTAAAGTATAGCAGCATGAGACTAGAGCCTGAGATGAAAAGGAAAAGGGGGTTAGAGATAAAAAAAACTAAATTCTCATTTTCTTAAGTATTATGACTGATGTACAGCTGAGAACTTTGATTATAGGTGGGCAGTTTTTCCCCACCCAGAGAAAGCAAAGTAAAAGTCCCTCTGCTGTGCTGACGTGGCATCTCTTTCTTCTTCCAGTGACCATGCAGCAAGTGGCCAGGACGGTGGCTAAGGTGGAGCTCTCAGACCACGTGTGCGACGTGGTGTTTGCACTTTTTGATTGTGACGGTGAGTGGGGCCATCAGGGCAGCAGGGAGAGCTGAGCACAATCTCAGAGTTAGAACCCCTGGGTCTAGATTGTGTTTTCCATTTCTTCTTGTTCTTCATATTTGCCTGTAAGCCTAAATTAATCTATGGCCATAGAATCTTAAAGGAGTCCCAATGTACAATGTGAGTTAATGTGCTGGACTGCAAGGTTGGTTTGACCCACAAGGTCAGCAGTTCAAACTCACCCACTGCTTCTTGGTAACCCTATTGGGATCACTGTGGGTTGGAACTGACTTGACGGCACTTAACAACAAGTCTACTAAGCACCCAGCTAGGTCTAATATTTCTATTTCCTTTTTTGAAGATCCTGTGTTGTTGTTGTTGAACCTTGCAGTTCAAGCCTACCTTGCAGTTGAGCACATTAACCTGCAGCGCCACACCAGTCCTGTGCGCTTAAATATTTGACTGTTACTTAAGAAGAAGTTGGTACTCACTTCCCCACCTCCCTGGACACATTTCACTCCAAGTCCATCTGCTCAGCATTCCAGCCCCACACAGTGCACTGTTGTGTCTGTGGCCTGGCTGCTCCATAGTTTAACCCACGTAAGAGATCCTGGGTTTGCTCTGGCACACATTCCTCAGCTGTGTTGGCTGCTACAGTAATAACACCAGTATTAACAGTGGAGGCTCACTTTGTTTTCAGTGCTTAACTGTGAGCCGGGCACTGTGCTAAACTGCTTTTTTAATCCTCTGATGGCCCTATTATTACTAACTGCATTTTCCAGGTGAGGAAGCCGAGTCTCAGAGAGAAAGGTTGAGTCATTTTCTCAGGAAATCAAAGGCCATACTGCCTCTCTGTATACTATATGACTACATTGCCAGGATTCATCAGGTAGCTGGGCTAAGGGAGTTGAATAAATAGCTTATAACCTTCGGCATAATGACTCATTCTGGCCTTTTCATCCTTAACTTGGTCCAGATGCTTCTGTTAGTGCACATTACATTCCGTCTCTGAATATGATGTCACTTTCCTTCTAAATTGTAAGGGTAGTTACCAATCTTGATCACCATTAGATTTCCCATAGAACCTCAGGTAGTCCCTTGCCCATTAATGAAAGTGTTCATGAATGCTTCAGTTAAATCTCCATCCTGCACCCCACAAACCAAGGTCTGACTCAAAGGAAACCCTAAGGCCAGACCAAGGAGATGCCCTCATCCTCAGGTAAGGGGAGTGCTTGTCTAGAGCCGCCCTGTCCTATCAAATACCATTAGTCACATGTGGCTATTGACATTTAAATTAGTCCAAATGTAATGTAATGAACAACTCAATTCCTCAGGTCTGTGTAGCCTTATTTCAGAGGCCACCACATTGGACAGCCGAGTCAAAAGCCTTTCCAACATCGCAGAAGCATATCACTCGACAGATACACCCTTTCTCCAGAATTCCTTTCACTCTAACAACTTCTGGTGGTGGTGGTAGTGTGCCATGGAGTTGGTTCCGACTCATAGCGACCCTGTACAGGGTTTCCAAGGCTTTAAATCTTTACAGGAGCAGAAAGCCTCATCTTTCTCTTTCGGAACAGCTGGTAGTATTGAACCTCTGACCTTGAGGTTAGCAGCCCAATTCGAAACCACTACGCTACCAGAGCTCCTTCTAATAACTCCTGCCTGGTTTTAACTTTTTCAAAACACAAAGAAACATTTATTCTGATTTTTGGAAGCTGTGTCTCTACTGAAACACCAACCTATGGTCTGTAAAGTAAATATGGGAACCAGAGCAATCAGCCTTCCCAATCCCCTCTTCTAGGAAGACCCGAGAAGGATATTTGATTTTCTAAGATCTGTCGAAATCTACATGATTCACCTTAGAAAAATCACTCCCCATACTTAGGGCTTATTAATCTAGAGAAAAACGAAGTACATTCAATAAAAAGCCAATATTATTTCTACAAGTCAAAACGCCAGAGGACCAAGAATTCCAACGTTCAGACAGATTTGTTATTCATAGAGCGGTGGTGTTGCACTCATAAATGACACACAGCCACATTTCTGGTTCCTTGCTAACATAATTCACAGTAATCAGCGACTCTCCTTGTTTTTCTTGTGCCGTTGAGTTGGTTCTGACTCAACAGTGGCCCTAAATAGGGTTTCCAAGGAGTAGCTGGTAGGGAAGTAGAAAGCCAGTTCCATTGGCATCTGAGTGAAATGACCTCCGTTTTATTCCCCAATTGAAATATCTTTTTATTTAAAGTCTCAGACTTCCTGTTCGGACCTCTCTGTTCTCTTCATTACATTCTTGATTGATTTTATTGATCATTTACATTTTTCAGCTAGACCAGGCTAATTTTTAACTTTTTATATTGAAGTATAATATGCAAACAGAAAAGTGCAAATATCGTACTTGTGCACCTTGATGGATTTTCTTTTTTTCTGTTGTAATCCATAAGATTTTGTTTTGTTTTGTTTTAAAGTTTTTATTGTGAAATGAGTGATAGTTTACATGGGAGAACATCGGCTTTACACCATTGTTTCATTGCAGTGACTACAATCTCCTCCATGCATCATCATTTGACAGTATTTGCTTTCATTCCCTCTGATTTTTTTTGAGGGGGTATAGGGAGATGTATACAAAAACATTCAGGAATACATAGTAATTTAAACAACCAAAGGGCACATTCTGCAAGCCTGCCACCTGGCTGCCAGCACCCAGTCCCTCTCTTTCCATAAGTCTTGAGTCCTCAGCTGCTCTCTCTCCATGTCCCCATCTCTGCCTCCGTCTCTGGTGTCACTGCTTCTCTGGATAGGGTCCCTCATTCTACCTGTGCTCTTCTCCCTTGATGGTCCTAGGGTCCTCTGTTTCTGGACTATAAGATTTACTCCCCCCGTTTTGGTACAAAACCTTGATGAGGTTTTTAAAAACAGAACATGCCTATGTAAGCAGTAGCAGCAGCATCCAGAACCATCACTAGGACCACCAAGTCCCCTGAAGCTGCCTCCCAGCCACATCCTTCCCCTGACCTGTTTTTGTGCTTTATATAAGTAAGCCAAGGCAGGTCTGGTTTGGTTTTTCCAGTCTTACTGTGAGGTATTCTGTCTCTGAGGCTCCTCATGTAGAGAGCATGGGTCAGGTTTGGTTTCCACGTACTGGCTTCAGAAGTAAGCCACTTATTCCCTCCTTCCAGGTTCCTTCCAGACTGATCCATTCATTAGTAAAGGTCTGTGGGTTAGTTTCCTGATCACCATGCCACTGCCATTGTTTCAATCAGCACATGTTTACTCCTAGGATTCCTGGTGTGGCACTGTAGGATCAGCACTGGAATGTGAACCGTAAGGTTGGTGGTTCAAACCCAACAGCTGCTCCTTGGAAACACTATACAGGGTCGCTATGAGTCAGAACTGACTCGACGGCACCTAACAACAACAATTTACTCCAGAGCTTTCTGGTCACTGGGTGACTGACTGCTGTTTCACGGGCTTGAAATGACATCTGGTTAAGCCAGATGTTCTCCAAGTCTCCTCTAGTCTCAAAAGTCTACACTGAAGGGGTGGCATGGAGGTGTGGTGAAATGGGCTGAATGTAGGAAGCCAGATGTTGATTCTATTTTCACCAGGAACACCTCTCACTATCTCTCACCTGAACTGTCTCTCACACAACCTCTTACCTGCCTTCTGTACCCTAGTTTTGATACTCCTGATCCACATATACCCATCCAGAGAAATCGGCCTAAACTGGAAATTGGCTACATCTTACTCCTCTGCTTCTGGGTTTTTCCTGGTGCTCCACTGCCTAGAAGATAAAATACAAGCCCTTGCACTGGACCAAAAAGTCTGTTTGAACTTCAAGGTCAGCGGTTCAAACCTACCAGTTGTTCCTCAGAAACCTTAGACAAGGTAGCTAAGAGTCGGAATCGACTCAACGACACTTAACAACAACAAGGGTGAATACAAGATTCCTGGGGACCTGTTTCCTGTCTACCTCTTCTGTTTCCTTGCCATACCCCCACCTACGAGTGTCCCATCTTATCTGACTCCTTAGTCCCCCAGCAGCCAGGTAGATAACTTCCTGCCTGTATCTTTGCTTGTGCTACTGCCATCACCTGGAATGCCTTCTCCATCCCGCTCCCCTTCCTTCGGCCAATCCCTGCTCTTCCTTTAGGATTCATCTCAGAAATCACCTCCAGGAAGCCTTTACTGACCTGAACTTACACCCCTGTGTCCCCAGCAGTCTCTGCTTCCCCCATTAGAACACTTAGCTGATTGCTAAAATCATTTATTTTTCTCTCCAGAGTGCATATTTCAAGGTCAAGAACAAGGTCTTGTTTATCTCTTTATTCTCAACACCAGATACACCCGGGACCTGGCATATAATATATTCTCATTCAGTTGTCGCACTGCACACACTGTCACTGAGTTATAGGCAGAAACATCAAGGGGCAAATCAGTTCATTTTAAGCCAAGAGAATTAAGTTTGGTTGTCAGAGTCCCGAAGTTTTGGACCCAGCATGCAAACACTGGGGCTTTCTTGATGGCTTTGTTCCAAAGACTCTGCTCATCCCTTTGATGCTTGTTTCTTCCTCTAGGCAACGGGGAGTTGAGTAATAAGGAATTTGTCTCCATCATGAAGCAACGGCTGATGAGAGGCCTAGAGAAGCCCAAAGACATGGGCTTTACTCGCCTCATGCAGGCCATGTGGAAATGTGCACAAGAAGCCGCCTGGGATTTCGCTTTGCCCAAACAGTAACCCAGAACTGCCGGAGGGCATCTCCTCCACCCAGAGCACCCTGGATCCCCTGGAGCAGAGCCTCAGCACAGCCCTTCCAGCTGCTGCTTCTGGAGCAGTGCTCCTCCCCCTGGGAATGACCTCCAGAGTCCTGCAGCTTCTCTTCAACACCCTCCCCTATCCCGTGTTCTGCCAGGGCCCCGATTCTGCTCTGTGGTCATCCCATAGATGTGCTTATCTCGAGAAACATGAGCAAGTCCTAAAGCTTAGCCTCTTGGCACCTGCAGGAGCATTACCATTCAGCACCTCATGGAGAAAGAACACAGAGAACCATCACACACCTGCCATCCTGGGAAACCGCCAGTTCTCAAAGCATTTGTGCTGTAGATTTATATGAACAAGAACATTCTTTGTTTTTCCTTCTGTTGGTGTTTTTAAACCCCAAATTGGAAAAATCTCTGGCTGACAGAAGTCCACCAATAATAAATGGTAATGAGGGTGACCCGGGCACCCTGCGCTGTGGGGAGTCTGGGCCAGAGCAGGAATCTGTGTCATTCCCAGGGTGGCTCAGAGGCCTGCTCCAGATAGGTGATGTGCACAGTGGGAACTGAGCGGTTTCAGAATATGCAGCTGCTGTTTTGGGGCTCTCTCCATCCCTCTCCATCCCCTCCTTTTGCTCCCAGGCCCCCTGAGAGAAGTCCATCACGACTCTGTACTTACTGAGCACCAGTGATTGAGCCCCTGTTGCCTGCAAGTGTCAGCCCATCTGGGAACGCGCCTATGAGGCTGAGGCCTGGCTCAGAGCCCGTCTGCCCGCTGTCGCTGTCTGAAATACTTGGAAAATATCACTTTAATTATACCAATTGGCAATACCCACACCCCCTCAATGGCTCCTGTCTCCTTTATTTTAGGACCCCCTGGGGCCCTTCTCATTCGACTTCCCCACTGGGCTTGAGATTCTGCCAGCAGAAACCCCGTTTTCCTACTACTAACGTGTGGGTTCCCCTGATGAAAGGCATAAACAGAGAGGGCAGTGGGAGGGCAGTGGGGGCATTGTCCCAGCTCTACTTGGTTAGCATTTCATCCTGGGACAAGTAGCAGAGTCATTGATCACTCCTGTCCCATGAGGAACTAAGGAACCAAGATGGGGCAGTGGAGGACATGAGGAATCGTCCAGCATGGTGGCCTAGGGATTAAGAACCAGAGCAGCTGATGTGTGATGGACCCAAGTCCTGGTTACTAACTCTGCCAGAACTTGACCACGAACTCACCGTAGCCTGAAGCAAGTCACTTCCTGCTGTAAAATGACAGATAGGGTTCCGCTTAATGGACTCTAAGGTTCCTTCCAGATCCAAAAGCCTCAGCTTCGGCTCTACTCCAGAGCTGCAGACTCCCCCTGGCACAGCAGTGTCTAGAGGCTGATGTAATAGAACCAACACTACAAAACCCAGTGTCCCAGAGGAGTCACTGACTCTGATTGTTGGTGGGATGTGCTTGTCTCTCTGAAGAGAACAAAAGCTTGGGGCTCTACAAAACTACCAACCCCATCATTTTCTCCAGGGCAACTTAAGAACCTCACTTGCAACATCCTTTCTGGGAGCAGATTAGATTGTGTATCATCTCTTTTCCACCTTCCCTATCTTGCGTGTTCCTCATATCCAATCATACACTTTGCTTGCTCATTGCCCCAGGTCTGAGGCTTTGGCAAAATGAAAGCTGCTCTTAAATTGGTTGCAGAATCCCAAAATTACTCTTTTCCATGCTCCTCCTGTTCTTTCTTCAGCCTGAAAGGGAAGTTTCATGCACATCCTTTGTGAGCTACAAGAAGAAATCTATTGAGTGACTTTGGTGCATGTGACAAGGTAGCTACACGGTGAAACCCAGGGGCTCAAGAAGGTGGACTGACCTCACAACTTTGGCCTAACAAGGTAAATGGGTCAGATAAGAGGTACAAGCCAAAAGAGGCCATGGTCCCCCAAGGCAGGCCTTGGACAAGGTGATATAGTAGACTGAGTGGAGGGTGGGCTGGGAGCATTTGGAATGCACAAGGATGTTTCATCTATCTAATGGAATGCCCTTCTCCTCTACAAATGTTCCAGCCTTAAAAAGACCTCCTGGGCACTTAACAACAGCAGCATATTTCCTTTACTTCTAAAATATTTCCTAATTTAAAAAATACATTGTATAAATTTGATGAACTTGACCTACACCTATGGATGCAGTAACCCAAAAGAGGGAACAAATCCTTACAGCAAGAAACATTCCCACCCCCTCCACACACA